TCGTTCAAGTGGCAGAGGTGGGATTCAAACCCAGTTCCTTTAATCCAATTGGGAGAGGTAGGGGCCTTCAGGTACAGAATGATGCTCTTTCCACTCTCATCCATTCTCAGCATGATGTGGTTGAGTCTGAAAGGATACCACAGAGGTCAGAGAAGGTGCTAAATCAGGCTATTTAGTGAGAATTTCTTCATATGAAATATTGTGAATTCCTGAAAGATTATATCAGTATTAAATTGTAAATACTGAACCATCCTAAACTGCCTTCATTCCATCTCATGTCGTCCTAATACATCTACTGTTATTGGCTTTGTTTCTCGGACGATCAAGTTGAGTGAGGCATCTTCCTCTTACCTGAGCCAAGGGGGAAAGGTCAGTAACATCTCTCGAAACTATACTGTAATTAATTGTTTTATATTTCCCTTTTGGGGGGAGATATTGACATTAGCCAAAGTCTTTTGGCTAATATCAATTATACACACACAAATATTATATCAACATTTGCTCTTTATTTATTACATACACATCTAGGGAGGTCTCATCTGTAGTTTAGGGCAACATATAATAAATTGGAAATGGAAGATAGCATCATTATTAGAACCTATTATTAAGTTCATAGATAATTACTGAAGAAAATTATGTTATTCTTTGTTGTTTTAAATGAAGTAAAATAAGATCATTTCAGATTTTTTTTCAATTCTGTAAAATTATCTGAATTTTTCTTGGTCATAAAATTTTCTGAACTTTTTTTTGCTGACTTCTGAGCTAAATGAGCCAAATTCTATTCAGATTCTCCTAAGCCAGGCTAGGGTGCATCTGGAGAGGGCTGGTGTTGAGTACTATTCATTTTCAGGGTGTCATCTTCTTAATCTCACTGTTGAAATTTGTTCCTCACAAGTATTTGACACCTTTATTTCTTTGATCCTAGATGATGACCACTGGATTGTGGATACTGATTATGATACCTACGCACTTCAGTACTCCTGCCGCCTCAAAAACCCTGATGGTACCTGTGCTGATAGCTACTCTTTCGTGTTTTCTCGGGATCCTAGTGGTTTACCCATACGTGCTCAGAGAGTGATTTGGCAAAAGCAAGAAGAGCTTTGCTTAGGGAAGCAGTACCGGATGATAGTTCATGATGGTAAGTGTTTTTCCAACTCCTTCTAGGTACATCTAACCAGTAACCAACTGGAGTTTCAGGAGTGTGGTACAGTATAGGGGCAGCTAGGTGGTGCAATGGATAGAGCACTGGCCTTGGGTTCAGGAGGACCTGAATTCAAATTTGAACTCAGACACATAATACTTACTAGCTGTGTGACCCTGGGCAAGTCACTTAACCCCATTGCCTAGCCCTCCCAAAAAAATAGCAAAAAAAAAAAAAGGAGTGTGGTACAGTATTTACCTTGATGAATTATGATGACGCTCTTGACTTTTTCTACTAGGCAGTGAGTTGGTAGTGAAGCCTGTAAAGATAAATGCTATGTAAATATAAGAAGAAAAGTGGGATCTCCTAAGCCCTAAAAAATCCTAAGTCTAAATGTAAGGATTGAGTTTATTATTGTTTTATCTTCTCTATTGTCCTTTCCCTGGAGGGGCTCAAGGACTGGAAGGACACCAATACAACCAACTGAAAAATGAAAAAAAAAAATCAGGTGTCTCAACTACCTACCATTGAACTATCAAGGAGCACATTTGGCAATGATTTTCTTGTGGAAAATCTGGGAGAGATATCCCTAAATACCTGCCTTAGGAGAGGCTGTTGCTCATTGTAGGTCTTCAAAAGAAGACTGAATGATAACTTGTTGGGTCTGACCAATGGCCTCAGATCCATTCCAGCTCTAAAATTCTCTGAGCAACTATCCAATTTGGTAGAGCTGTCTGGACATCAGGGAGACGCAACTATCATTTATATAGTAGCTGCCACAAAGAGGCTGAAATGTGAACATTTCAGACATTTATTTTTCCATCTGAGGACAAATAATAGTTTGTATTTTTTCTTCTAAATAATCATCTGATTTACTTACTTGCCTTCTTCCTTTTGGGGGGAGACGGAGACATCCACTGATCCAATCACAGAACTCTTGCTGACTCTTGAGAGAAGAGGCACCATTTGGGTTGTGTATGTCCAACACCAAACATGGTGTCTCATGTGTAGCAGGCACTTGATAAGGGTTATTGAGCTGCAAGCCTTAGAAGATGCTTCTAGTCGAAGGCTACTTGGCTTTCCTTGGCCAATGCACAGATTTTGTACATCCAGGTCCAGAAGCGAGACCATATTAACTTTATTTAACAAATATTCAGGCAAAATGCAAAAAAACTGCTGGGGGCAGCATCCCGGCCCTCCACCCTGCATAGTACCAGACATCCAGGTGTTCATCATATGGACACACATTAAGAAGGCACAAGTCTGGAGAAGTCATGGTTGAGAGGAGACATGCTCCAGATTGATCAAATCATGACTTGGTCACCAAATCCAGAAATACTGGGACATGAGACAAAGGGGCCCTCTTTGACACTGGAGAGATAAATACAGATAATTCTTTCTAGGAGTTTGCTGTGAAGGGAAGAAGTAGATGATACCTTGAGGGGACAGCAGGGACAAAGAAAAGCTGTTTGAGGATGGGGAGGAACTGACAAAGGCCAAGATATACCAACTCACGGGGACAGGGATTGGCTCTGTCACTTCATTGGGATAGGTAGGTCCTGGGTGAGGAAACTCCCTCTACCAGTCCAGGTGAGGACCATCTCTACAACTTAAGAGTTTCTGAGATTTTTGTAGAACATGGAGAGCTTAAGTGACGTGAACAGAGGAATCATGAAGCCAAGTTTTCTTACCAGCTTCCTATCCAGCATATACATCATGCTGCCTCCCAGTAGAAATTCAGAGATTGGATAAGCAAGTGAGTCCATGATGCCCTCTCCAACTTCCCCCAGGCAAGCAGGAAACAGAAGAGGATTCAAAGACTGGTTGGACAGATTTGAGTGGCAGAGTTACCGTGGCAAGAAAATGGAATATAACTAAGCTGCTAAGATTGGTATCAAGCCTGTCTGTGCTGGCCACAGATTCTTGGGACCTTGACCTTGATCAATAATCACATGTTACCATTTGGAGGCTCTAGATGACTATGTGAATTTTTCAGTTTTTATCCAGGGTGGTTTTTTTTTTGGTTTGTTTTTGTTTTTTGCATCATGTAGACAAGTGATTCTCAAACTATTTTTTGCTTATGGCACAATATTATTCTTTGCCAAGAGAAATGACAGTATACTGTAGGAACTGAGAAGCTCACACAGGTCCATGCAATTTTAAGTTCCGTACAATTCTCTGAACCTTTAGCTCAAACTCCTGTCTTATTAGGGTGCTACAACATACCCTTTGAGAGGCCCTGATGGAGAAAGAGCAAAATCAAGATTTGAGGACATCATTTTCTAGACAATTAACTCAGAATGTCATCTACCTCTAAGTAATAACTTTGTTTGTTTTCTATTTCAGGCTACTGTGGTTAATAGAAACCCCAAGCAATGGAAACTCATTTTGTCACTGCACCATGGATGTAGAGTTTCATTTAAAAACCTCAGAAATATCCTCATTCAACCTTCAGATCTATTCATCTGAGTTGCCTAGTTTATTTCTGAAAAATACAGAAACCTTTACCAAACCTAAATTTATAAAGGAATGCATGCTAGCTATAATAAAATGTATGTATTTACTATCATTTTATTTTAAAAACTGTTGAAGATAAAGATTCCAAAATGTTATAAAATGTAATCTTCCATTTACTCTTGTTTTGTTTCTTGTTACCGTCCAAATTAGAAGTACTCAGTTCTGTTCTATCCAAGCACAGGTGGTGTATATTTTGATTTATGTAAAGAAATTCTCAAGTATTGAAATTTCTGAGTTAGAGAGCCCTATGTGTGCCCCTCAAGAATGTAAGTCTCATACAAAATTCCAAGTGAAAAGGGTTAATGGATTAGTTTCAACTCTAAGCCTGGTATAGTAGAGTACTGGATTTGTCTTTGGAGAACCTGGTTTTCAAATCTACCTCCACTACTTATTACCTTCTGGGCAAGTTAATCAACTTCTATGGTTGATTATTTCTTTACCACTAAAATAAGGGAGTCAGAATAATCTTCCAACTAACTCTAATGACTGTGGTCTGCACCCATTTCCTAAAACAGGGTTTTCCTGTAATTAAGCAACTGACCCTTAGTACTTCATAGGTGGCTCTGTGCCTCTGCCCAACTGGGAAGGCTGACCCCTTAGACTACGGGAGGGCCTTTGCAGTTGAATGATAGAGTTCACTCATTCCCCTTTCACAGGCTTGGAGATTTAGAGTTGGAAGAAGCAATATAGTTCACCTTGCTCATTTTTTAGCTGTGGAAACTGAGCCCCAGAGAGGTTAGGAGCTCAAGGTCACCAGGGATGTCAAAGTTGAGTATCCAGCTCTTGATCTGAGAATTACTTCATTCTTCATCACAAGAAGTAAGTGGAAAAGCCTCCTTGCTTCTCTGCCCTATTCAAGTAAAACACCGGTGTCCTCACAGAAAATCATAATCTGTTCATCTATTGAGCCCTGGATTGGAAGTGGGTGCTAGCAGACTAGAGGGTGGGGGGGGGAGGAACTGGCACTGTTTATATAAGGGTAAGGGTGCATTCCAGCCTTCCCTTTCTCCCTGGCATGTTGACAAATAAAGGAAGACAGAAAGGGCTAGGGCTGAATTTCAATGGTTTGAGGAAGGGTATGCTAAGGTGCCCAGGTTAGTGCTCTGCTCACAATAGATGTTCCCATGGTTTCAGGCAGACAGAATGGAGCACATGGCCTTCATGATTGATGCTGAAAGTCCTGTCTAAACAAAATTTCTGAGAAGCTCTGCTAGGCAGAGAACCATGCCATGGGGTGATATGCCAAGATGTATGAAAGGATATTGAGGGACCTACAAATGAGAAATACACCCAATGATGACTTAGAGGTTATTGATCATTAGAGCCAATTTACCAGCTTTCTGAAAGGAAGAAATGTCTTCCTTTTCAATTTCTATACCATACTGTTCTAAAAGATACTAGCTAGTCTTCTTCACCTAGACACCTCCAGATCACAAAAGTAAATGCATAAGGCCTTTCACAAAACAGTTTTAATTTATTTTCAACAACATTTATATAAAAAGATTCCAACCTTTTTGTCATAGTTTCATACCCACCATGACTGTAGACCTTATTTCATTATTAGTCTGTTACACGGAAAATCAATTAGGAAAAGTCCTGCAGGAAAGGGAAGGGGTGGGACCACAATGACATCATGGTGGCTTGGTCTGGCTTCTCAACTGGCAGTGAATTGAAAATAGCTACGGACGTCTAAGATCCAGATGCCTCTCATGTCTAGAACTTGGCTTTCTGGAGGCAGCCTCCAGTAAACTGAATCTAATCATATCACATGCTACCATTCCATACCCTCTACCATCCCTTTCCCTGAGTGAAAAATTGCATTAAAGTTAATTATGCTTCAGGAAGTTCATGGAAAGTCCTGAGAAAACTGGAGATACCTTGAGGTAATCACTGGACTGGGGGAAGAAGGCAGAATGGTTGTCATGGGGTATTATGACACCCAGGGAAAGAGCTGTTTGAGCTGGTTTTGAATTCAAGAACACCAATGCACATTACAAGCTTGGTACGGCCAGGAAGGTACATCTTGTTGAGTTTAAATAGAGTTAATAAAAATTGGAGAAATTATGCATAAATTAGATTGTCAACATCAACCATATTTTGACAAACAGTGTTATTTTTAGTGCTCCAGGCAAATCACAAATTAAGATGAAAATGTGATGGATCCTTTTATAAAGCAAAGAATATTTTGTTATGGAGAGTAAGCACCTACCCTCATTTAACATCTCTGTAAAAAATAAGCTTTCATATAGTAAACTTTCTTAAAGTGGGGCACACCTGTAATGAAGGTCCTAGAAATTCACCACCATGAGAAATATCTTGTTTTATGCATACTCAATAGTGAAACTGAACCCACTCTCATGTAAACTACAGTCAAGCAATATGCATGTAGAGGGAAAAGAGTCCATAACCACTTCCATCAGGAAAATTACAGCCAGTGAACCCATCAGCCAGTGACTACAGACAAGTCATTTCTTCTCACGGAAGTGTCTGTAGCCATTCCGTTCTTCTCAGGAAGCGACGAGCAGGAGAAAATGACTCTCCACCACTTCTTCTGAAAGTGGGAGGCTCCGTACAGGGTGGGGTTGACTGCCGAGTTGGCAAATGTAAACACTACGATCCAGAAGAACAGGGATGGCCATATCACCAGGTCCTCCTGGAAGGTCTGGATTAAGATCAATAAGATGGTGATCATGATGGGGCTCCACATGATGAAAAACGAGACCATGAGCACCAGGAGAGTCCGAAAAAGTTTGTAATCCTGTTGGGAGACCCGGACATGGTGGTCTTCTGAGTAGGCCAGGTTGCTGTTTAACCTTCTTCTGGAAGCTTTTGTAATCTGCAACATTGAATCGAGGTGTTAGGTGATGTTGACTGAGAGTTGAGTCCTTTTTCCACTAAGGAAGAGTCCCGAAGAGCTGGCCTTTGAAAATCATATTGCCCATGTTCTAAGAAACATGACCTTCTTGGAGAGATCTAGGAGAATGTTCTATCAGGGCTGTCAGACTCACAGCAGCCTGCAAAACTTAGAATGGCACTGGGGAATGTTTAACAAAATAAATAAAAGTACAATACAACGTAGATAATATTAATTTGTGGTTTTCTAAGTCACCATGCCGGGCTGGCAAGGATTAGTTTCTCTCTGAGCCTGACACACCTATTTTACATCATCAATTAGTTGCTTATAGGGAAAGGGAAAGGGGAGAAAAGAAAAAGGGAAGAGTAGAAAAGGAAAGGAAGGAGTCCAAATTAGAAATAGAAGACAGTGTTGATTTAGTGAAAAAGAAAAAAGAAAGGTGAGTAGGGTCATTCTAGGAAATGGTCATCAGCTTATTTCTACTAAATACTGTATTAACTTGTATCAGAAGAGTTCAGAACAGCATAGTGCAAAGGGAAGAATTCTGCATTTGCAGCCAGAGGACCTGAATCAAAATCCTGACTCCACTACTGACTACCTGTGTGACACCAGCCTCAGTTTCCTTATCTGTAAAATGAGGGTATATGGGGCTTTCAAAGGTCCCCTCTAGCTCTGCTCCTTCGATGGTCAGCGAAGTGCATTACTTTTGTAATCATGTAATCATGTCATTTCATGAAATTTTTTTCTCACCAAAAACTAAGGCAATAAGGTAGAATACAAAGGAATTCAGAGAAACAGAGGAAGATAAGTATGAACAGGTGGAGAGTAGAATAAGCAGAACCAAAGAATGATATACAGGATGACAACAATTTCAATGAAATTATTACTAAAGGAAAGTGAACTAGGAGTGACTGAAAAACTGATAATGGTCCAGGAGATAAGAAACATAGCCTCCTCCTCTCTCAGCTCAGAGGCAGAAAAGAGAGAGACAGAGAGACAGAGACAAAGAGACAGAGACAGAGAGATAGAGACAAACAGAGAAAGAAGAGAGACAGAAAGACAGAGACATGGAGACAAAGAGAGAGAGACAGAAGAAAAAGAGACAAAGACAGAGACAGATATAGAGATAAAGAGACGGAGATAGAGACGGACAGAAACAGAGAAATAGACAAAGAAAGAAGAGAAAAAGACAGGCAGAGAAAGAGAGATAAAGAGACAGAGATAAATGCATAGACAAGAGAAAGAGACAGTGGCAAAGAGAGAGACACATGGGGAGGGAGAGAGAAAGAGACCCTTGGGGTCTTAATAATAATTACAGCTCTCATTCATATAGAGCTTTATGGTTACAAAACACTTTAAATACCCTCCAAATAACCCTGTAGTGTATGGCTAATGCAAGAATTAACTTCCCCAATTCACAGATAAGGGAGGTGAGACTCTGCATAGGTCACAAACCTATTAAGTGCGAGAGAGTGGTCTTAATGCCAGGCCTTCTACCTCCATGTGCAGAGCCCTCTCTCTCCTCTATATAATGATACCTCCTGGTAGAATCAACTAGACTACAAGGGGTACCGAGTCACCGAATGCTACAGGCATCATGTATGACAAATGTCACAATGGCTGGATCTGAATACGGACTGGCTGAAGTCTTAACATACTGTACAACCTACCATAATGCCCTCCTTGGAATGCCCTGGATTGAAATGGTCTTCACTTGTTTGATGGGTTTGAATGCAAAAGACGGTACGTGTGTTCTGCTTGATCCCAAAGGATAGAATTATAGGGAGGTAGATTTGGGCACTAGAAGGAAAAGTCTATTTCCAACGAAATCCCTCCCAACATATAGGTGGTGGTAGTAACACATGTTTTATGTAAGCTGGGCTGGTTCTTACAAGGGGCAAGGAGGAAAGTTTGCTTCCTGGAGTATAAAAGGCCCAGCCCAGGAGAAGCTAGAGTTAGAAACTCGCTCTTGCTCTCGTGGGAATGCTTTCCTGGCTTTGTGTTGGGCTGATACTGCAGGGAAAGGGAGGTGTTATTTCATTATTATATCATTATTATTATTATTGGTAGTAGTATGCATTTTTAATATATTATATATTTTATAACTTAAATTTTATATTTTAATATTTAATATATAATGCCTTTTTTTAATATATTGTAAATCTTTCAACTTCTAATTGGTAAAGAATTGGTTTTTAATTGGATTCTGTGGTCCACAAGTGCTTATTAAGGCACATTTGAAAACTTGAACCTGTCTGATTGGGCTCAATCTCATTGAAGCTCGGCCTTCAATACTCAGGAAGTAGCAAGCTCTCCATTTACAGAGGCCTTCAGGTGGAGGCCGGATGACCATTTGTAAGGGATGTTGCATGTAGAGGGGAGTCTTGCGTGGGGACACTCAGGGCCACAGTGGTACAGTGGAAAGAGCCCAGGCTCTGGAGTCTGGGGTTCAAATCTGACCTCTGATGTTTACTACCTGTGTGGCCCTGTGTATATTATTCAGCCTTCCTCCCCAGGTTTTGGTTTCCTTATGTATAAAATGAGGAATTGGAGTAGATGGCCTCAGATCCCTTCTGATTTTCTAGGCCTGTGATCCTCATCCAATCATGGTTATTGGTAATAGATAAGAACAATAAACATACCTGTAAGATTTTGGAGTAACTGATCACAATGACCAGTCCCGGTATCAAAAAGTTAAAAATCGCAAACAACACATCCCAACAGATTTCTCCTCCAATGTTGGGCCACACTAATGTGCAAATCTGAACTTCCTATTGAGAAAGAACAAGGGGAAATTTCTGGATTAACTTTTTTGCTCTTAACTCAATAAAAGGTGGTAACTTGCAAATGATTTCTTTCTGGTCTTTACAAAAGACCAGAAAATCACAGTGTGACAGGTCTAGGAAGGGCCTCAGAAATCATAATGCCTTTTTCCCTCATTTCATAGAAGGGAAAGCTGAGGCCCATGGAGCATCCCCTGAGAACATACAAACTGATAACACCTAGGAAAATTTCAGTAAAGGGATGGTTGGTGTGCCTTTAGAAAGGGAAGCAGTAAGCATTAAGTATCAGTATAGCTTATAGGATGGCAGGCAGATCGACTTAGAGCTGGAAAGAATTTCCAAGGTTAACTTTACCAGTATCAAAGGAGATAGTGCATTTGAAAATCTTTGGAAATACGAAAATGCTACATAAATGTCAGTTATGATGAATGGATCACCTAAGCTTGACCTCATTGCCTTTTTTGATGTGGTCACTAGATCAGGGAACTGCTCAAGACGGGGTCTACCAAGACTTCAGGAATGCATTTGACAAAGACTCTAATGCCATCCTTGCTGATGAGATGGAAAGATGTAGGGGAGACATCACAGTCAGGCTGAAGAGTACTTAAGGTGTTACTGTCCGTTAGGATGCTGGACCAGATCCTGATAGAACAGAGCTACAATATGGAATCTAATAAGATGAAATTTAATAGAAATAAATGTAAAGTCCTACACTTGGGTTAGCATAAGTCAACTACAGAAGTACCAGATGGGGACGGCATGACTATACTAATCCATACTAAAAATGAGCTGAGGTTTTATTGGACTGCAAATTCAGTGAGTTGACAATATGGTATTTTTTTAGCTTAGCTTTTCAATCATTTTCAGTACTGTCCAATTCTTCATGACCCCATTTGGGGTTTTCTTGGCAAAGCTATCAGAGTCGCTAACCATTTCCTTCTCCAGCTCATTGGAGAAGATGAAGAGCTGAGGCAAACAGGGTTAAATGACTTGCCCAAGGTCATACAGCTAGTAAGGATCTGAGGCTAGATTTGAATTCAGGTCCTCCTGACTCCAGGGTCAGCACTCTATCTGACACACCACCTAGCTGCCCAAAATGGCAGGTTGAAAAACCTAAAGCAATCTTGGGCTGCACCAACTAGTAGCAAGAATGAGAGAGGTGGGGCAGCTAGGTGGCACAGTAGATAGAGCACCAACCCTGGATTCATGAGGACCTGAGTTCAAATCTGACCTCAGATACATAACACCTACTAGCTGTGTGACCCTGCGCAAGTCACTTAACCCCATTGCCTAGCTTACAAAAAAATGAGAGAGGTAACCATCTTGGCATACTCTACTCTGGCCAGACCATATCTGTTGTGCTGTGCTCAGATCTGGGCTAAACACACTAGGAAGGGCATTAATTAATTGGAATGTGTACAGAAGAAGACAACCAAGATGAGGAGGAATCAGGCCATATTAGAATTGGTTAAAGGAAAAAGGTATACTGAATCTAGAAAAGATGAAACTTGATTGTATTTGAAGGGCTGTCCTAGTGATAAAATTGTAGTTGTTCCACCTATTTCCAAGGAATAATTGGTGTAAATTGTAGAAAGGCAGATTCAGGATTGATTGAAGTGTAGTGGAGGGAGTTGAGCTGATAACTGCTTTCACCCAGTGCAGGTGATATGATCTCAGAAAGTATTCAACAGATAAGAGAGGCCAGGAGATCTTCAGATCTTAAAGTGTGAAGAAGGCAAGGTAGATAGAATGGGAGAGTAGCTAGTCAATGGGCTGGCAAAAGGTTTAGCCACACTCCTAGTGATCCTTAAAAAGCAAAGACATACTTGCTAGGAAAATACAGTCCAGGCAGTAGACAGACTTGCAGAGGAATGTGACGCTAAGAAGCAGAGGAGAGAGCCAGCTATGGATTCAAGGGAGAATAGGCCCTGTCGATTAGGAGTTGAGCTGAAGAGAGGTCCATGCCTACGGAGCCCAGATGGTCAATTTGCTTAGGGGAAACAGTGTACCCTGTGGGAGTCATATGAGGACCTCACAAGAGGAGAAAGGTCACTGAGCCCTGCAGGCCTGAGCCATGACTTAGCAATATGTACTCCCCAAGTATGTTCCTCCTTACAAGTATATGTTGGTATCCACTCTCCCCACTGAATTTGTGGGAGAGTGTACCCCAGGTTTATGGGTGGGTGGGGGGAACATTTCGTAGCTGCTGTTCTTATGATGCCATCTCAGCAAATGCCTTTGCTCTGAGATAATTGTGTCTATGAGCTATTTATTAAAGGGAAGTATACTGGCAGGGGCTCATGAGCTATAATTTTAGAAGTCTAGACCCCAGAAACACTTTGAACTTGTAGGAGTAGTCATCCCCTTTGACCCAAGCTGAAACATGCGAGTATCTGGCTGTGGAGGTATCCCCAAAGGATTGTTACACTAAATATTTTCTAGACCACCACAGAAAGCAGTCAGTCTTGCCTCAATAGAAGTTGTGATATAAAGGGTGGATGATCACCTCTTGGAAAAATTGTAGGAGAGAATTCTGTTCATGTTTGCAATGGAATGGATTGCCTCTGGGTTCCTGTCCAACTCTGAAGCTGGGGTTTTCTGAATGAGAAAAGAAGGAGTTTTCCAAAAAAACAAAACAAAACATGTCACTGGGCTAGAACAATGGGCTTAAACTAACAAAGTGAAAGCTAATAAGACTTAGATTTCAGGTTCAACGAATCCATTGAACAAATACAGTGTGGAGTATGGGACAACAGGAACAGGGATGGAGGCAAGAACTGGGAGTATTTTGTGATCTGCGTGCCCCATGAATAAACAGTATGATGGCTTCCTGAAAAAATAATCAATATAACCTTCATCTAAATTGACAGAGAAGGATACTGTATCTGGAAAAAGGAAGGCACCACCCACCAATCTCTGTGCTGGTCATACCATATCTGGAATATTAGTTCTGGGCAAGACATGCTAAGAGAGCACTGACTAACTAGAAAGTGGCAAGGAGGATGCTGGTCTTCCTAAGAAAAAAAAAAAGATGTGAGCGCCATCTTTGAATATTTGAAGGAAAGCTGTATGGTATAGTAGATAGAATACTGTACTTGGAGTCAGGAAAACCTGTCTTGGACACTTTTGAACTGTGTGGACTCAGGCAAGTCACCTAACCTCTTTCCCCATCTGTAAAATGGCATGATGTTAATAGCATCTACATCAAAGGCTTGCTATGCAATTAAATGAGATAACATAGGTAAATTGCTTTGCAAACTGAAATCTATCTGGGTTGGTTATCATTCTCTAGATGAGGGAATAGATTTATTCTCTACAGTTCTGAAGGTCAGAACTAGGTCAAATGGGTGGACATATTTTAGCTCCATTACAGTTAAGAATGTCTTAATAATTTTAAAGTTGTGAAAAAAAAATGAAATGGGCTCCCTATCACTGGAGGTATCAGAGCTGACACTCTACCATCCCTCAGGATGCTTTAGAAGGGATTCCTGCACTTGGCAGGAGGTAGGTTAGACTAAAAGGCCCATAAGGTCCATTCCCATTGTAAAACTCTCATATGAGCCTAAGGCTTAACTCCCTCACTATGGGAATAAAGTATATTTAGAACAAAGATATGTGCGTGTTAGGTTTTTTTTTCTTCTGAAGTTTATATGGCACATATAAATTATTGACACTATGCTGTACAGGTCAGGTTAAGCAAAAAAAAAAACCCCAACAAAACCCAACAAGCTGGACATGTAGAAAGAACAACAGATGAACAGATTAACAGTCAGAAAACTTGGTTCCTAGTCCTGGCCCACAACTAACTACTCTTTCACTGTTTACTGATCTGTAAAATGGGAAGTTAGACTAGAAATTCAGGGGTTCTTTACCTGGGTCCGTGAACATGTTTTTAAAGCTATTTTAATAACTATTTCAATATAAGTAGTTTCTCTTGTAATTCCATATATTTAATTTATGTCTTTAAGAACACAATTTTGAGAAGGGGTTCACCATACTGCCGACAGGCCATGACACAGAAAAAGGTTAAGAAACTCCTGGTCTAGATGATCTGTTAGGTCTACTCTATTTCTGAATTACTAAAATTCCTCTAATTTTTATTATAGCAAGGAGAATAACAACAATTCCTACCTATGTGGGCCTTTAAAGTTTAGAAAGTCCTTTTCTACAAATATTCTGAGACCCATTTGAGGCCTGACTTTTGTCCTACCTACCACTGGATTTCGATGACTCAGGAAGAGGCAGCGAAGCTGAGACTTTGCCTCCCTTTAACCCAATTGGTCCATACGTCAAGATGTCTCCCGTGATGTCATTAGCCCTCAAAAACAAAGGACAAACAACATGAGACCCATTTAGGCAAATGAAAAAGATGTGAAATGATTTGCCCAGAGTCACACAACGAACAGCGTCTGAGACAGATATTTAAAGCCAGGCCTTCCTGACTCTGAGCTCAGCACTCCATCCACAAAGGCACCTAGATGCCTTAATAAAGGTCAATGGCAGGACCTGAACCCAACTCTTCTCTCAAAGTGAGCACCTTATCTACTACACTACCTTACTAACAAAGGGAATCTGAGAAAAATCACACGAGTGAGAAGCAAAGTGTGCTACAGGAAAGATAAGAAGACTAGTTAACTCACCCTGATTTTACAGCTAAGGAAACTGAGCGCCAGGAGATGTTGTGTTCTATCCAAAGTCACACAAGCCTACATACCATGTAGCAGGGCTAACCTCAGTTCAAACAAGATGATAGTTAGGAAGAAACTGATGGAGAATTCCAATCTGCATCTTCCAAATACTACCCTTACCAACCATATCACTGCTTTGTAATTCATATTTGACCATGAAAAGAAAAACAGGGATGCCTCTCTGGCACTTCCCTAGTTCCTTTTTCCTATTCTCCTTTTTCCAGAATCCTCCTTTCTCTCCCTTCAAAGAAAGGGAAGGGACAGGTATGGGGTGTGGTGAATGTGTCCCAAAAGGTGGGGAATGTTTTGAGTTTCAGATACCAATTGGACACCCAGGAGCTGATGCTTGGCAGGCAGCCAACACCAAGAAAGTAATTAAAACAGAAAGATTTGGGATTCACCAAGATACAGACTAGACAGATACGAGGAAGTCAGGATTCAAATCCCCTTCAGAAACTTCTTAGCAGTGGGGCCAAGGGCTCTGAGCTTCAGTTTTTTCATCAGTAAAATAAGACTTAATAACCACCAGCCCCACTCTCACCCCCAGTGGAATGTTCCTCAAGGGCAGGGCCTATTTTAGGTTTCTGTTTTTTGTCTTTCCATTTCCAAAGTCTAACCACTGGGTAGGGTGGCTGGCCCATAGTAGACTTTAATAAATGCTTGGGGAACTGAATTACAAACTTTAAAGTGTGATTAAAATGTCAGGTGTTAAAATTATCTTCACAGAGAAGGGGCAGATGAAATCACCATAGGGGCAGATGAAATCACCATGGCAGCAGATGAGCTCACCAGAGGAGCCTGTAGAGAGATGAAAGAGAAGAAATGGGCCTAGGACATTTAATCTTTATATCTATCCCAACACAATGCTCTGTACATAATACAGGCTTAATAAATATTTGGTGAATGAATGAATTTGAAAACCTAAAGTTTTCAGGTGATAGGGATTATAAACATTTGTCTAAAGTTAAAAGTCCAAAAAAAATGCTAAAAATCCCTTACCGTTTTTAGAACCATTCCTTTAAGAGCAGACCCAGGAAAGATTGTTGTAATCTTAAAACATCACTTTTCTTTTATTTCCTTAACACATAGTGGAGAGCGGGGCGGGGAGGGGAGGGGGTATTGGGGCGAAGAGAAGGTAAGCTCAAGAAACTGTAGAAAAAGGAACGAATTTAGAAATTTCATGAATCAATTTGATTTGTAAATCTATTTGGGCGAGTCTACTGATTAAGATCAACACCAAAAATAATAATAGCTAGCAATAGCTTTAAGGCTAACAAAGTGGTTTTTTTTTTTAACCTATTAACCCAACTGATTAGAGGTGGCCCAGGTAAATAACAACTACCTAAAACAAGTACCGGGCTCCAGACAGTTCAGCGATATTGGGGGAAGCCCTTTAAGATAAAATACACCAGGAGTTGTGGGTTTTGTTTTGTTTTTCAATTATGCACTCAAGGAGTTTTGGCGAGAGGGAGAAGGGATCACTATTCATATCTCGGGAGACAACTACCAAAAAAACCAAGTTGAAAATATTTCTTAGTTTTAATTCATATTTTCAGAAACTCAGACTTATTCCTAACTGGATCTATTAGAAATGGAACCTGCAAATAGCATGAGAGCTAGATATTGGTTTAGATTGAGGTTCTTAACCAAGAATCTATAAACTTTTAAGAAATGTTTTAATGATTATATTGCAATATAGTTAGTTTCCTTTTACTCCTATTGTTTTATTTTATTTGTTTAAAAACATGATTCTGAGAAGGAGTTCATAGGTTCAGGGGAGTGCCAAAGAGAGTCAATAACATCCAAAAAGTTAAGGGCTTCTATTTAGCTGAACACTCACATCAGTTTCCCTAAATCACACGGGGCACCATTTCCTCTTCTCTCCACCCCCACCCCAGCGGGGGATGGCCAGCAGGTGTATCTCTAAGTTCCCGGTTCTGTCATCTATTTGCACACGCCCCAGGGCGGCAAGCGTAGGTGACCAGACTAAGTCCCTCCACGAATGCTGACCCTGCATTAAGGGGCAGGTCGGCGGCAGCCGGAGCCTGGGCGCAGTATGGAAAGAGCGAACCTGCAGGGGTCCTACTATGCCAATGGGCACCGGGAGGGAAGATACACCCCGGCTGTTTGTTCCCTAGGGTTTGCGCATATTCCCATGAAGGATGTTACTGTTTGCTACGCGGTTCCCTCTCAAATAGCTAGGCGAAAAGGAGCTCTGGGAGAGAGATTAAGAATAGAGGAGGGGGCGAGGTGGCCGGTCTAGGCCAAAGACGGAGCGGGGCTGGCTCACTTGTTGCTCTTGTTTTACAGAAGAGAAAGCCGAGGCGCGGAGAGGTGACTTGCCGGTCACACCCACGTAGGTGGCACGAGATTCCAGAGCTACGGTTCGCACGCACCCAAATCCTCGGACAGACCTCGTGTTACCCCTTTTCTAATCCGGCTCGGACGGCACGGGCAGTGGCTCCGCACCCCTGCCCGAACCTCTCCGCACCTCCGAGGCGGCCCCGAGGCGCGGCCGGCGGCGCGTCCCTCCGGCGCTCACCTTGTCGCTGCCTTCGAGCGGCTGGAGGCGCACGGTGAAGAAGACGCCGAGGGGCAGCGCGGACAGGGCCGCGTAGATCCAGATGATCGCCAGCAGCACGGCGCGGGCGCGGGGCCCTGCACCCTGTGCGCTGTGCTGCATGCGCGCGATGCACACCATGCGCTCCAGGCTGACCGCGGCCAGCGACAGGATGGTGACGCTGCCGCTCAGGGTCATCACGTAGAAGACCAAGTGGCAGGTTAGGTCGCCCAGCACCCACTCCCTGGTCCAGCGCACGGCCAGCACTGGCGGGATGGCTGTGATGAAGAGCAGGTCGGCGCAGAAGAGGTTGAGCACCAGGCAGGCGGTGGTGCCCCGGCGCCGCTGGCGTGCCAGCAGCAGGATGGCGCACACGTTGCCCACCAGGGACACCACAAAGATCAGGGCCAGCGCCACCGTCTCCACGATGCTCAGGGCCACCCGCTGGTCCTCTGTGAACTCTGAGAAGAAAGGGAAGAAGGTCCGGTTGGCCGAGTACACGGTCCTCGGCTGAGGCAGGGGCGACGACGCTCCCAGGGCCGCCCAGGAGACTGTTGGGCTGTGCAGGAGCAGCAGCATTGCGCCCCGGGTCGCCCGCCGGCCCCGAGACGTCTGCCTGCGCGGGCTGCAATCATCTGGCAGACTGAACCTGGCAGGAAAGAGGAAGGAGGCGGTTCTGACATCTCCCCTCCTGCCCCCTCCCAGCATCCAGGCACTTTACTGCTCCCCGTGGGCCCGGGAACGAGGAAGTGACTGGTGGGGGAGGGCTGGGAACACTCGGCCTGGGCGGGGAGCCGGCGCCGGCTCCCCAGCTGTGGGGCTGGCGGTGCCCGGGCGTAAGGGGCGGGGGATGCCCAGCCAAGCCCCATGGGGTTCCACGCCCCTGGCCAGGCTGCCTTTGGAAAGGCCTGGCTGGGCTGAGCCCTTTTGAGGTTCGTCCTATCCCAGACAGTGCCCAATTCCTGTCCCGGTGGGATAAAGTACACTAGTGGCTTATGGCTTTGCACCGCTGGTGGTGCAGTTTGGGAGATCTGGGGTCAAATTCCACTTCTGATACTTACCGGCTGCGTGACCGGTAGGTAGGGGGAGCAAGTCTCTCGGCCTCTGTTTCCCCATTCGTAAAATGGGAGTTAATATCTGCACTATCTATTCACAGAGTTGTTGAAATTTAAATGAATAAATGTCTAATAATGTTTGCAAATTTGAATGTGTTTTATGTTTGTCAGCTGTTATCTATCACTGATTACCGACCGACTCTTTCTTCTACTTACCCATTTAAAAATGTATTTTTGCTCTGAATTTAACAGAAAAAAACCCCCAGTATTTCCATATACTTGCAGAACAGATGATAGTACCTTAAACTGTCCCCATTACCTACAGCTTTTCTTTATGTGTATAATAAATGTAACTTTCAAAGCTATCCTGCTTGTCTGTGATCGTTTCTGGGTTTCCTTCCATTCTCTCTCTCTCTCTCTCTCTGGCGGGAAGGGCGGTTTGACTCGAAAACCAACCTTTCACTGCACTGAGCTTTCCTCTCCTCCAACGCTCCATTTTTTCAGCTACATCCCTACTCACTCTGCCAGGTCAGATTTTACCCTTTACCTAAAGATTTATTCTTCCCTTTTTGCCCACCATTCCCCTTCTATTTCTGAATGTCTCCAAGTACGTGTGCATCAGTGTAACAAGTGGGTGGATACCCCTTTCTGTGAACGCTTGGTGACCTATGTATCTCTCTGCATATAGGCATATTTATGGCAGTGTCTATTTAGTGTGCCTCAGATTGGCATTTGGAGAATCCAGAACTGATTCAGAATGGAGATTATGCCAACACTGGGTGGATATCGGGGTGTCTGAGTCCAACAGAGAACCACTATGCTTCCTGACCGAGTTTAAACATAGGGACCTTGGACCCATGCTCCTCTGAGTATCTGTCAGTATATATGAGTGATTATATGCCTATCTCCTAGGTAAGAACGGGTGTGAAGGGGTAGAAAAATCACTGGGGACAAAGAATGGATCCATTCAGTATAAATATATGCAGTCCAAGTCTGACACATATGTATGCATGCACACATGTATGTGTGTGCACCTGTGTTATGTATGTATTTATATGTATATGTCTGTTTATGTATATGATGGCCAAGGGGTGTGTGTGCGGAATCATAAAAGGACTGGAGAAAAGTGCTTCCACATGAGACTGAAAATGTGTCTTCTAACAAGGTGTCCCACTAACATTGTTCGTTGTTAGGATGGCTAAGCAAAACTTTGTCCTTACATTGTTAGCCAGAGTCTAGTCAATTCTGCCTCCATAAATCTCACATCCCCACCACCTCTCACCTGGACAATTTGAATATCCTCTTACTTGGCCCCCTTGCTTCCAGTGTCCCCCTCCTCTTATCCCCAAAAGCATTCCCTCTGCATGTATTTTCCGCTAGAAGGTAAGCATGTTGAGGACAGCTAGTGTTCTATCCCCAGTGCCTAGGCAGTGTAAGGCTTTTCACACAGCAGATCAGTTTCACACAAAGATCATTTATTTTTGTTTTGTGTGCATATTTTCCCTCACTCTGTAACCTGTTTGTAACTTTAACTGTAGACATCACAGACTCCAGTTTGGGGAAGGTTGCCATTGGATGCAGTGACAGTGAGTAATCTCTCATTCAATTCAACATTGACCGAGCTTAGGAACAAGCAGAAAGGACCTGTGAAACAGTTCATTCAGCTCCCTCATTTTACAAATGAGGAATTTAAAGCTCATATGGGTGAAGTGGCAGCAGCCAGGGGTGGCTAGGACGGATCCCATGTCTCTCAACTCGCAGAACTTTCTCCAGTTAGGATTTATCAGTTGGGAAATTCCTTTGTCACCCAGAGTCTCTGCACAGTCTGCAGAAGAGATACAAGTAGAGTGTATTTGGGGGAAGGTAGTAATAATAATAATTGAACTTTACATAGCATTTTAAGGTTTGCAAATTGTTCCATGTATATGATCACATTTGATCCTCATGACAGTCCTATGAGATGGGTACTACAAATACTCATGCTTTCATCTTACAAAAGAGGAAATTGAGGTTTAATGAGAGATTAAGTGGCTTCCCCAGAGTCATGAGGCTAGTAAGTGTCTGAGGTAGGATTCGAACCCAGGTCTTCCTGGCTCCAAGTCCTTGAGATAAACTCAGAGTTAAACTGTTATTAAAACAAAAGTTTGTGCATAGTCATTTGGTATTCTCTGCTTTCCTCTTTGACTCATTCCACTATTAGATAAATGACTGGGAATAGAGAATGGATATGTTCAGTATAAATACTGTCTGTCTGTCACTCTAAGGCATAAAGAGAAAAAACACTGACCCTGGGGAGGGGAGAATATCGGTTCTGATCCTCGCTTTGCCACTTATCAGAGGTGTGGCTGGCACATTATTTCATTTCTGTAGGCCTCAGTTTTCTCACTTGTCAAATCAAGGGTTGGACTGTAATAGATGGATGCTAAGGTCCTGTTCAGCTCAACATCTATGATCCTGTGAGATGAATAATGTTATTAGGTGTTTTTTCTAAAGGAGTTTCTTTCTATTTTCAACTAAGTGGGGATAAAATTCAATTTGAGTTGATAACAACTTCTTGTTTCTTGTTTGGAAAAATATTAAAATTACAAAAATTTTTATTCAATGAGAAGTCAAATTTTAAAGATATTTTTTTTTCTCCTTGATTACATGTAAAAACTATTTTTTAACATTTGTTTTTTTTTTTTTAAGTTTTGAGTTCCAAATTCTATCCCTTCCCCTTTCCTGAGATGGTAAGCAATTTGATACTGGTTATATATGTAAAACATTTCCATATTAGTCATTTTGTCCAAGAAGACTTGAGAAAGAAAGATAAGGAAGGAAGGAAGGAAGGAAGGAAGGAAGGAAGGAAGGAAGGAAGGAAGGAAGGAAGGAAGGAAGGAAGGAAGGAAGGAAGGAAGGAAGGAAGGAAGGATGGGAGGGAGGGAGGGAGGGAGGGAGGGAGGAAGGAAAGAAAAGGGAAGAAAGAAAAGAAGAAAGAGAAAAATAGTATGCTTTAGTCTGTATTCAGATAACATCAGTTCTTTCTCTGGAGACAAAGAGCACTTTTCATCAATGAGTCCTCTGGGACTGTCTTGGATCATTGTATTGCTGAGAATATTTAGGTCATTCCCAATTCAAGAAGTGAAATGTTGACATCTCATGATCAAGTTGTACTGATGGGGAAGAATCTTGGAAATAATTGTGGTTCAAAGACAAAATTTAAAAAAAGGAAACTAGATTAACTCAGAATGAGTAATAGCTCGATTCTGAATCATGTCTGGCCAAATGTATTTCTTGAACTGCAAGTGTTTCAAAAATTATAGATGTATTTGTGTACGTACACACACATATCTATATATAGCAGACACCAAAGTACTGTCATTCCACAATCTTTAAATACATACATTTGTTCATTTCCAACCAGTTATTTTTTAAAAAATAAATAAGCCTATAGTACATCAGCAAAAATTACAAATATAGAGTCAGTAGACATTTATTAAGCACCTATTATGTGCCAAGCAGTGTGCTAAGTGCTGGAGATACAAATAAGTAAAAGAAGGTCATGGGGGCAGCTAGGTGGCACAGTAAATATAGCCCTGGCCTTGGAGTCAGGAGGACCTGAGTTCAAATTCAGCCTCAGACACATGACACTTATTAGCTGTGTGACCCTGGGCAAGTCCCTTAACCCCAATTGCCTCACCAAAAAGCAAGGAAAAAACAAAGAAAAGAAAAAGAAGGTCTGGCTTCAAGGAGTTTACAATCTAATTTAGGGAAAAGACAATGCATAAAAAGAAGCTGAAAACAGTGAGAGGTGGAAGGATCTCACCAGAGAGTATCCAGCTGATTGAGTTGAAACCAAGTTGAGTAACTGATATGAAAATCATTAAAATGCTTGAACATTCTGAGGCCCCCATTCGACTGTGTGCTCCTTCAGGGCAGGCCTGTCTTTTGCCTTTCTATGTATCTCCAGAGCTTAGCATGGTGACTGGGTCATAGCAGGAACTCAATACCCCTGTTCCCTTCCCTTGATGATCTTAAATGTGGTTCTGAAAGGAGCTCCATTTTGCCCCCTGGGGGTAGTTGCTGCCAGTACACCCACTTTTGCATTTTTCGACCCTAGGGCAGCTTCCTCTTTTTCCCTTTTGCCTGATGATAGCGGTCTTAGCTAAACAGGACATCAGTGAGGCTTCACGACCATTAGATCTAAAAGGAAACTGAGGCATGCAGTTCCTGTTTTAAAAGCTGAAATTGATGTACATGATGTACATAGTCTTTGGCCTTTAATTGATCTGAACCTCTCAACAGGAACCCTTGCTCTAGTCTAGACAAGAAAGATAGCAGCAGGGCTTGTAATTGGCTGGTTGTGGCAGAAGAGGAAGGAGTTTGGCATTGCTGCACTAGGGAAGGGACTAGTCCTAGATGCTTCTCTTTCTGGCCAGTTCTTCTCTGCCAAAAAGGGTCCTCATTTCTCTCTCTGTGTTTCTGTCTGTCTGTGTCTCTCTGTGTGTGACTCTCTGTCTCTCCATCTCTGTGTTTCCGTCTGTCTGACTCTGTCTCTCATCATGTTCAGTTTGGAACACATTTTTTCTAGCTTTCTGTGACCTTTGGACTCTCAGCCACCCTACTGTGGGTTTCCATCTGTGGGAGGCACCTACTGACTGGCTAGATCAATACCTCAGTTCTCAATATTTCTTGTCAGCTGGTCTGTGCTGCTGAGTTTATACACCATTGCGTGAGAACCATCTGCTGGGCTTAAACTTGAGTCAAAGTAAATTGTTTCTAAGTTTGTTTTTTGCTTATTTTGTTGGGGTTTTTGTTTGGTTTTTTTTTCCTACTTTTTGGTGAGGCAATAGGGGTTAAGTGACTTGCCCAGGGTCACACAGCTAGTATGTGTCAAGTGTCTGAGACCAGATTTGAACTCAGGTCCTCCTGACTCCAAGGCCAAAGCTCTATCCACTGTGCCACCTAGCTGCCCCAGTTTCTAAGTTTTTAAGAGAGAGTTCAGCTTAAGGAACAAACTCATTTGCATTTATAAAACACTTTGCATTCAGTGTCTTTGGATTCTTACAACAGATCTGTGAGGTAGGATCATACTTCCAAGATCTGTATTGGTCATTGTGGGCGCTCCTTCCATCAGTGAACAGAGCAACACCCTTCTATTAGGAGATGACCTTTGAGAGTTGATGTGGGTGAAAAGGTTCATTTCCATCAGTCTATAAGGGTAGGTTGGAGCCACTTGTAAGATCATAATGTTTAAATTCAACATCACCCATATGCTAGGTTCATGTTTTAAAATCATTGACAACGTTTTCCTGAGACAAAGGTTGATT